TGAGTTTCAATTTCCTCACAAGTAAAATAATGTCAATCTCTAAGGAAGGGTCATTCTTTCAAAGAAAAGTAAGATTAAATCAAAAGGTGGGATTTTATAAACAGAAAAACAAATGGAAATGCATGATATTTTTCTTTATTTTTACTTTTACCTCAGTCTTCAGGATCTCTCTTTTCTGGTACAAAGCCCTTGGAGTTTTGGGACAACTCTCACAGTAGCTTTGTATTTATAAAGCATAGCTTGGTAATTAAATTATAAGGAAAGAATCCAGATTTGAAATCTAATTGTTAAAATTATCATTTTAATTCTCTTATTTAGAGCATTCTTAAATATTTCATGAGTTCTGCAATATTAAAAACTGCTAGATAGTTCATTTAGTTCTTCTAATTAACACAAAGGGTTCAAAGAGGACTGCATCAGTAACCACTATGATTAGAGATGCTTTGGATAGTAATAAACGACATCCACCCTCCAGGTCCAAGTACTGGCCTTCACAGCAGTTCCGAAAATGCTTTCAGGGTTATCTTCAGCGTTTATAGAAGGAAATTTCAGATAACTGGTGACGCAGTGTGGTGGCTAAACTTTTAGACCCGACAACAAACTGACATCAGACTACAAATCCCAGCTCTGCTGATTACCCCCTGCATGACCTTGAGCAAGTTCCTGACAGTCTTTAAGTCTCAGTTCCCTCATGTATAAAATGGGGGGAATAACATAACCTCGTCCATATGGTTAGTGTGATATTCAAAGACAACGGTACCTGTGAACTGCCAAGTAATGGCTAGAGCTCCATAAATGGTTGCTATTACTGTGAGTTTTACAGATACCTAAATAGTTGTTCTTGTAAGTTAAAATGGCAAGTCTTTTTTCATTGGTATCCAAAAATTTTCTAAATATTTCCTTCCCCCCTGAGGTCTAACTGGTTTTATTTTGATCCTCTTTTTAATGACAGTTGTAGATACCCTAAAAGAGAGCACCAGAAATGTGCATAAAGCTTTCTTTATTTATCACCGACCCTGACAAAGAGGCCTCTATCAAAACCCAGGGGACTGTCAGGCACTCATCTTTTACATTAGCTCTTTTCTCTTTTGAGTTACCTTTTTCTTGCCAAAGAGGTAACTTGTTATAGTTGAGATCATTCAGACTAACTCTACAGTAGATAAGGTCATGGCTCTTTTCAGTGATTCTTACAAGAAGACAATGGGAAGTACAAACAAGGCTGGAGTCTGCTTTTATTAAGCTGACACTTGAGGGAGAATGCTAAATGAACATCAAACCCTATTCACCTTTCCTATTTCGCTCATTCCAGAGAGCAACTGACACCTTGCCCTGTCATGATAAGCTCCTCACTAGTTAGCCAAACACTTGGCAAGTGAACACCAATATTAAAGCTGCTAGGTTTAATAATCAGTGTTTGCACTGCTGTTAAAGATATTTTAATATTATAATTGGGTGACCCATGCTCCTTTATCCAAAAGCTAAATTTATCCTAGTGACAAGACTTAATTTTCTGGCATATCTGAAATTTGTGTCCATGCGAGGTGAATTCTAACGGAAACGATAGGACCTATGTCTAGATATTTAAACCCCACACTGTTACTTAGTTTAAACCTTTAATGGTACCACTGAAACTACTCTGGTAAACCGTTCCTAACTCCGTTCTATAATCTCTGAATTTTTTCTTCTTTAATAAAAAAAGTGTAACACAATAATCTTTAAGATGCTATCTGATTCTAATAGTAGACAATTTTAAGTACTTCTTTCTATCCTAACTTGATATTCAAGCATAAATGCTAGAAGGGATAAGAGAATGAAAAAGAAAGGAATAATAACGAATCCAGTGCTTCAGAAATAAAAGGCCGCATAGGAAGCTTCCATGAATTATCTGAAAAGGGAGATTAAAAGGAGCACCGGCACCAGCTGCTTCTCATTATAGATGAAGTACAAGGACTATGACATCTTCCAGAATTTCCTGAGTTTACAACTTACAGCTTCTCTGATATTTGTTCTTGATTGTTGTTGGAATGCCCATCAGCACCCTCTAGTGATTATTGCTGAAGCCCTTGAAAGAAAAAGTGAGATTGATACAAAGGGTGGGATCTTATAAACAGAAAAACAAACTGCCATGCAAGATACTTTGAAAAGAAAAAGAACTGTGTGTTGGTTGATGGTATTCAATGATCTGGGACCTGGGAGAGGATAAGTAGGAAACAGTATCTGTTCTGCTATGAATTCTAGAGACAGACGATCTCACAGAGGATAGCAGATCTGTAAAGAGGGAAGTCAGCCTGCATTATTTCTTTAAAGAGTCTGCTTTCAATCTGGCAAAACACTCCAGGTCTATAGGCAAACAGCTGAGTCCAGGAACACTGAGCATTGTGCAAGACAGTCCTCTGCTGGCCTCCCTTCACCTCCTGGTTCCTAATCGCATCTCAGTTCCCAACCCCTAGCCCTTCTCTCACTCTTCTTCAGCCTTGATCCTCCAATTTGATTCATTAAATACCTTATTTTCTAAATTAAATGCATTTCCCTCTTCTCCTGATCATACAAGAAATACCTATCTGCTGAATCCCTGAAACCCCAAAATGACAGATAGAGAAAGGCTGATAAATTTCAGATCCTAGCTGTACAAGTAAGCCAGAGCTTACTTATGCAGGAAATTTATTACTTATTACTGATTTGTCTGATATTTCCACAGGAAAAACAAATTCAGATCAAATTAGATGGTTTGTCTGTGTAACATCTGTTAGGTGGTTTTTCAATATCCATGATTGACCTTTAAAAACAATTATCTGGCTGTTCAACATCATACTGATAGGACATTGTAATTAAAAGCAGGATCTAGACCTGCACTTTCCAGCAAGGAGGCCACATGTAGCTACTGAGCATTTGAGATGTGGCTAATCCAAATTGAACTAAGTCATAAGCACAAAATGCACAGTTTCAAAGACAGTACCAAAAAAAGGAGAAAAAATAACGTGAAGTATCTCACGAATAATTTTTGTATTGATCACATGTTGAAATATTTTAGATATATGGATTAAATAAAATATATTAAGGTTAGGGGTGCCTGGGTGGCTCAGTGGGTTAAAAGCCCCTGCCTTCAGCTCAGGTCATGGTCCCAGGGTCCTGGAATCGAGCCCCACATCGGGCTCTCTGCTCTGCAGGGAGCCTGCTTTCTCCTCTTCCTCTCTGTCTGCCTCTCTGCCTACTTGTGATCTCTGCCTGTCAGATAAATAAATAAAATCTTTAAATATATTTATATATATTAAGGTTAATATTATTTCTTCTTCCTTTTTCAAGCCTGTTAGAAAAGCTAAAATTATTACATTTCCAGTTGACAGTACTGCCCCGGAGCATACTGCCTGGTTTCACAGAAGCTCTACTACATCCAAGCTGAGTGTCCCCAAGTAATTTCCTCTTCTGTGAAATGGAAATAATAATTCCTGCTTCTCAGGGTGCTTCTTTGTACTGCTGTATCATCAAAGTCAATTCATGTGAGCTGTCCTTTGGAACAGGGCCTGACCTTCAACAGGCTGCACTCTTCAGTACAGGCAATCCCCAAAGAGAAACTCAACTGAGAGTCAAGCTACCGATAATCTCAGAGGCTGGGAGAATGAGTGCCTCTTTGGGCATCCACAACAACTTCTGCTTGTATAACGGAGAGCATATGTTTAAGTACAGTTCTTTCTGAAAAGTAACTTGATGAAAAATGGGGATACTTACCTTTGTATCTGATAGAATGTACTCTTTATGACAGGAAATACCTAGTAGCTGGATATAAACTAAGTGTGGAAATAAGACAGATGAAAGGCAACTAGCAATACTAGACAATATGCATTAAATGCCTAATGAATGATACAGACAATCTTTCAGAATAGGTAAAAACCATAAGGGCTTAGTAAACCAAAGGTTTATAAAACAGGTATTCCAAGCAGGAGAAACAAAATGAGTGACATACAAAGATATGAATCAAGGTGGCATACTTTCAGGACACAAATAGACCAATTTGGTTGGAAAGAAGTTTCTTATAGGAAGATGCAGGAGGAAAAACTAGAAACATAAATAAGAGGCTGACTTTAAGCTGCCTCCTTTTCTGATAGGAAAGCCACTTTAGGCCAGGGTTCTAGAGAGGTAGGGTGATAAGTGCACAGAAGTAATTTAAGAGGATGAACTTGGCAGACTGTGTCAAAATACTCTCTTGAACTTCTCTGGGACTCTGCTTCCTTTGCAAAACCATGCTGATCTAATTCTTTTTACCGTAGATTCTCATATGCTACTTTTCTAGCTTTACTCATTGGCCCTTCAATACACAGGAAGGTCCTTAAGATAGGGCTTGCTTCAGAATATCACATATGAATAATAATCAGAAAATATATATATATATATACTACGAACTACCATTCTCAGTTGAGAAAGACAAAGTAACAGATCTTACATAGAAAGACTGGTGATATGTGATTCAGTGGTTATCAGATGCTTCTAAAGTTGCACTAAAATGTCCAAATACAACAAAAAACATGAGGGAGGGCTGTCGGGTCAATAAGTAGTTAACAATATGAGCATATAGGGGCGCATGGGTGGCTCAGTGGGTTAAAGCCTCTGTCTTCGGCTCAGATCATGATCTCAGGGTCCTGGGATCGAGCCCCGCATCAGGCTCTCTGCTCAGCAGGGAGCCTGCTTCCCCCCTTCTCTCTCTGCCTGCCTCTCTGCCTACTTGTGATCTCTCTCTCTCTGTCAAATAAATAAATAAAATCTTTAAAAAAAATAATAGGAGCGTATAAAAAGAAAAATTCTCCTTCTGGGGCACTGATAAAGAAGGTGTAACTGAGTGAAGCTTTGCTGCCTATCGAAGTTATTTATCTCTTTCTAACATGAAAGAATAAAAAACAGAAACTTGAATTATCAAAAAAGATGCTTTCCTTAAAATGCTGCAAACCCGCATTCTCTTTATCCTGTAACGGAAGTCTGTGTTGTGTGTTTGCCATTGGTTTCCTCAGACTCAGATTAGTCCCAAAGAAGGGTGGCAAGTGTACAGCTCAGCCCAGGATCCTGATGGACGGTGCATATGCACAGTGGTTGCTCCAGAACAAAACTTGTGTTCCCGGGATGCCAAAAGCAGGCAGCTCCGCCAGCTTCTGGAAAAGGTAGGTATCCCGTCCTCCATGCACTTTTTTTTTTTTTTTTTAACTACCATTCCTTGAAAAGGAAATGTGGGGAAGCAGGTACTGATGAAGAATGTCCTCCCAATTTTTGTCTCCCTTCTCAAACTTTTTATCCCTCTTCCTTAAAAAGAGTACCTCAAGCTTCCTGCTCTGTTCTATTTATATTACTTTCTATTTTTCTCAATCATACCTTCTTTAATATCCAGTTGGTCTCTCCTTAAGAAAAAAAAAAAAAAAGATAAGTGATCTTATTCCCATGCCAGAAATTTATCCTCAACTCCCAGGATCACACTAGGCTCTTTGAGCTCATGCATTTGAATCCCATTAACAACCTTGCAAGGAAGTTAAAATAATGGAATGCAATAGGCAAGCTATCTGAACAGATAATGAATAATTTCAAGTATTTATCATCAGTCTCTAAGCCATTCCTTTGAACATTAAGCTCTTCAATTTCATTCAATAGCATTTTCTCCATATAATTTACTTAAGCCAGATCCATAACAATCAAATGCAGAATGCCCTTGATTTATTCTTTTTTACAGATAACAGTCAACTCATGAAGGGTTATTTATGTTTAGTTTGAGGAGGAAGAAAAAAAACAAAACAATGAATGGTTCTTTCAATTATTCTCATTCAGAATTTCACTGTGTTGGTCTCTGAATATAGTAGGACAGCTGGGTAGCCAGACTGATGGAAAGATGGCAACACGTTGGAATTTTAAATACCTTCAGGGATAACAGGATAAATTAGGTAGTATGTGCTTTCAAGGACACGGTACTCAACGATTCACTCTGTGCAATATCATTCTCATGATCATTCACACAATGATGGCAGTGAGTAGGAACTTTTTATGGAAAATTAAAAGAAGCTAGAAAAATGAAAGCATCAAATCTGTTAATACAGACATGACGGCTTTATGCAATTCCAAACCTAGGAACAATAACCTTCTTCTACTGCCATATAATGAAAATAAATTTGCTCTGTGTACATTACTTGGAAGTCTATTGATGCGCTACGATTTTAGGAAAGTTTTTTTTCTTGTTTTTATACAATGATTAGTCCTGTTTTTCCTCCCCTTCTCCTCAGAGATATCATCAATCTATTGGCTCTCTCTTCTTAAGTCTCTTTTTATAAGATCCCATCTTCCCTTGCTCTTTCAATATCTGTCTCCCAGACAAGAGCAAATGTCATTTTCATTCAAGTTAACGACCCTGGCTAATGTTCTTCTCAGCTATTAGAAATCATGACATATGAACTATAATTTGTCTTGGGTATTGCTAACCAATCCCGATTTTCTTTATTTCCATGAAAAAAATCCAAATACATAGTTTCATATTTTTTGGTTACTAGGGAAATTAAGTACATTGGTAAAAAGATTTAATTTTTTAAATCCAATTTTCTCTTTTTTATTAAACAATATTTCTTTTCAAATTATAGACGTTCTGCTTCTATATTCTTTTCTGTGCAAAAGCACATTTTCTCTATACCAACTACATTGGTATAAGAAACACATTCTTAAACACTGTAACCTTATTTCTATCACTGTTTTTCAGTAAAGCATTACATAATACACATCCCTATACAGATTTAGACATTTCTTCAAAAATCAGTCAAAAAAATTCAAATAAAGTGTCAGGAAGTGGATAATACCCTCTTACAGCTCCAAAGTGAAGTGTATTCCAGAAATATGATAAAATCAGGAATTAGTGTAGGATGAATAAGGCAATATTGGATTATATATATATATATACATATATATATATATATATATATATATAAAATATCCAGGAGGTTGGCTGAAAGCAATCACTGAAATGAACATGACCACTCCATATAATATGCACATGTTTAATGTTTTAAAAAAAATTCTAGAAAATCACACCTTTAAAAAATCATCGTATTTAAGTGACCCAAAAATCCACAAAATTTATTTTAAAATGTAGCTTTCTACAAGTTACGTTTATTAAAGTCCTCACTGGAGAGTATCATAGGTCAAGAGAAACAGTCATGTGTACATAGAGTGGCTTGAAGGAAGGAGGTAGCCCTGGTTTGCTGCACTGACCCAAAGAAAAGCCACATGAAACAAGCACTCTTTATTCAGACTGAGCAAGTTCCTTCCTGACTTCTCTATAGTTTCCCGTCTATGTAAGGTGCCAGATGTAAAAACAGGAGCATGAGTTTAAGCAGCCCACTCACTATTATTTAAAGAATTGATTTAGTCATATAATAAGGAAATATTTTTAAGAAGAATAATGCTACTAACAGAATGTCCCATATATCATATGTGTATCCAGTCCATTCAATCCTCACAGCCGAGGTCCCTGCCCTTCTAAGTGTATGTAAAGGAAACTGCTCTTTGAGGTTAAAGAACATACCAAAGTCACTTAACCAGTAGGCTGTGGGACTTTACCAGATGAGTTTGACGTTTTCTCACCATCATGCTAGTGTCAACCAGGATGTCACTGGTGGTACCCACACTTAAATCATGTTATGTCAAACATTTTTAATCAGTATCTATATTACTTAATAGTTTAAGAATTACAATTGCTTTCACAATATTTCTGGTCTTCGTATGCCCAAACTAAAACTGTTTGCTTAAAAAATGTGTGTTAGCTATGAGGCTTCTCCGTACAGTTGAAGATGTTCTGCATTATCTAGGATAATATTTCCTAAAGTGTGATTTCTGGAAGAGGGTGCCAGCGGCATCCTCCCAATAAAATGATTTTAAGAAACACTGTACATGATACTTCACTCTTGATTTCCACCACACCGTTTAATGCTAAAGGTTCTGGGAAGACCTACAGCAAAGAATCTGTTTATAGTTTTGTTAATGCCAGGGCTAACCAAACATACTGAACTGTAGGGCTGCGTTTTTTTTCCAAGATAGTTTCCACAGTAATTATGAAATAGAGTGAAAATCTAAGCTGATTTGTGTTTAAGGTCAGAAGTGCCTCAGATATTTTATTTATGCAAAGAACCAAGAGAAATAGTTTAAAAAATTATCAGTGAAGTTGACAGCGAGCTTGCCAGATGATGGAGAGAGCATCTAAACACAGGGACACCCATGAAAATTAAACTGTAGAATATGAGAGATGAACAGACTAGAAGAGGAATCACAAGTCTCCTTCCTACAAGCATAACCATGGGAATCCAGTCTCAGGTACAAACAGGAAACATGCTCAGAGGCTCTCTGTAAACAATAGGAAACTAACATTCCTGGGGATATCCAGAAGGAAAAGCAAAAGAGAGCCCAGAGCCAAATCCCTTCTAATTAGACAGCTGTACCTCTATCGATTACCCCAAAGGTAGCTCTTATGATTATGCGTATTTCTACAATATAGATGGTCACAATCAAGTCTCAGCAAAAACCCTCAGCGTGATTTTTCACAACACAAATAAAGTTGAAAATTAACTCCATAGGGTTAGTCAGAGGCAAAAAAAAAAAAAAAAAAAAAAGAGAGAGAGAGAGGCTATTTTAACTGTATCCAGAATACCTTATTTGCCTATCATTTTCTAACTGTACAGACTCTGACTGCATACATGGAATTCCTAGGAAAATATTGGTCAGGCCAATGATGGTTATCTTCAGAGACAAATGCTGTATTCAAATGTGTAGATAGTTTCTTTAATACCAGTGGTTTTTCTTTATTCATGCTTAACCATAACAGAGCTGAAAATTATTTTGAGAGCATTAAATTTATTCAAGTTGCAGTCACCATCTCCATCTTTCAGTGTTGTCTCGGTAATTTTGTGCTTCACTAGAGATTAAAAAAAAAAAAATGTAGCTGCCTAAGTAGGAATGATAGTAAATTAAGAAATATTTGGGAATGATGTAATGCTATAGTGTAACAGTGACAGAAAAAGGGAACTTTCCTTAAAATATTAAAATACCAATTACCTATTACTACAATTGGAAGTCTAAGATAATTTTACCTAATAGATATTTATTGAGCAATTACTCTGTGTCTGGTTCTGTGTAAGGTCTTGGAAATAAAAGATTTGAATAAGATGCAGCTTTGAACATCATGGAGTTCACGCAAAGGCAGTCGCTTCTGTTCTCCTACCCAACACACAAAATACGCAATTAGTTTTAATATAAGCTAGACTATAATATATCCCGAAAAGATAGCATTCATAAAAGGCAGGACTGTGGATGAAACAGCAGGGGGAAATAAAAAAAAAGGAAAATATAATCTTTAATAAGCAGAAAGAATAGGCAAGCCAAGGCAGCAAAATTCACTGCCTTTTTAGAATGCTCCAGTTCTGAGGAATATACCAACAATAGGCTCTTTATAGCTAGCTGGTCCACTGAGCTTTGTGACATACAGGATGACAAAAATTGAATAAATTACTCTTTCCTCATTTGTAACTCACAATTGTTGCAATGAAAATAACTTTTTACTGAAACATAAATAATACATGTTTATTTGAAAATAAAAAGAATAATGCATAAAAATGTATGAAACAAATTAAAATTCACCTGAAATTCCACCACAATGTTTTTTTGGTGCTTTCGCATATTCATTTCATGCAAATAAAACATGTAATTCTATGCAGATTTACATATATTCTATTTAGCAGGGACTCCTTTCTATAATATCCGTTACTTCTCTTCTCACCCACGTCTCACTTCCTACCAAAAAACTAACAACCCAATATGCATTCTTCTAATCCTTACAAACCTCTCTCCACCATGATTTGGCCATATGCCCCATATGCACCATATGCCCCATTTTCTTTTATGTGTTTATGTGTGAGACACACACACAAAGAATTTGATTTAGAATAAAAGATCAAATTATATAAAGGCTGTTACATTTGCTCTTCTTACTTGCTTTTTTCATGGAAATTCCTCCATGTTGAGCAAAATTTAATAAACACAGGGATCACTCAGGGATTCTGATAAAATGCAGATTCGGACTCAATAGTTCTGGGCTAGGCCCCAGAAGTCTGCAGTTCTAACAGGCTCCCAAGTGATGTCAAACTTGTTGCTCTGTAGACAATACTTTGAGTACCAAAGTACAGAAACTTAGTTTACCCTTTAAAACAGTATATTTGTACTCCATTCCCCAATTCACTTAGTAGCTCACCAACTATTAGACATTTTCACTTTCTTTTTTTTTTAGATTTTTGGTACCACAAAAATTAGAGCAGCTTTTCTTTCCTTGTTTCTAGAAGTTTTATAAGTCACCCATTTCCTACCTCTACATAGCCTGAGGCCCAATGAACCAAAGTAGGTACCAGCAGCTTAATCGGTGTACTATCTACCTACCAAACACTTAATACAGCTGCTATTTTCCAGGTCTCTTAAACACTACGCTCTCCAAGTCTGCAGGTGTCCCAGCATTGCCACCATGCATCTTGGTCAATTCAATCTCACCCCTGGGAGAACTCAAGATGTTGAAGTGATTGTACCAGAATGAATGCATTCTAACTCTATTGGACATGTCACTACTATCCACAATTGCTAAACATCCCAATCCTAAAGAAATCAGAGTTAGCACTTACAGAAACAACTCATTTTAACATTTAACAGCTTGGGGCATCATGAGCTTACAAAGCCCTGGAATGAAATTTCTGTTTTTAAAATTTACTTTTCTGATTTATTAAATTCAATTTATTTATCTCTAAATGGTAAATGTCAGTTTTCTTATTTCCTGCCTAGGTTTAATTTTCCCTTGCTGAATTTTTTGAATGTTTATCATTGTTCTTCTGAAAACATATTGTGTGGTCGTGCAAATCAGGATTTGGCCTTTGGCAGTTCTTTACGTTAATGTCATTTTTGCTAGTTCAGTAGTGATGACGTATTTCTGTACACAGACAATAACGTATAGCCAATGTTCTTTTTTAACAGGTTCAGAACATGTCCCAGTCTATTGAAGTCTTAAACTTGAGAACTCAGAGAGATTTCCAATATGTTCTAAAAATGGAAACCCAAATGAAAGGGCTGAAGGCCAAGTTTCGGCAGATTGAAGATGATCGGAAGACACTAATGACCAAGCATTTTCAAGTAGGTTTGACTTCGGCAATCTCGTCAATCCAAATCAGACACTGAGTGTGATGGACAGTCGGAATGGCAATCAGCTAGAAATAACTATGCATTGGCCCATACGAGCAAGGTTAAAGACTCTCTGGGGACATCAATCATCTCTCCAACGAAACTGACCGTTAGCTGGTAGGAATGTATAGCAGACTTGCTATAAAAAGAGCCTAATCCTCCTAGAGCTTGGTGGAGTTTCTAGATGTATTTGCAGGCAATTCAATATCCAAGACAAGGGGAAAATCAAGGAAAATTAATAAGTAAATTTATCAAAGCTTCTTCTGATGACTTTATGCCCTACTAATATGAGAAGACATGTAGAGAATATTTGTTATTAAAAGAGGCAATAATACCATTAATCATAGCATACAAAAATAAAAAGAAGGATGTTTCATAATTTGATACAAAGTCTTTTCTTAGACTTCAGGTTGTTTTTGACAATTATCCAAAAACACTGAAAATGTAGAAATAGTGCTTTTAAGCATGCTATGTGGACGTTTAGTACCTATGTATGACAGTGCCATATTTTTAAAAATCTGACTATGATAACACCATTTGAGCCTCTATTAAAAATAAATCATCTGCCTCCAAAGGGATAGCATGTAGTTTATAAAACATACTGTGGTTTAATAAGCATAATAGTTTCTGTTTTCCTTCCCTTCTTTAGTGAAATTCACTGCTGACAGTAAGAGAAAGGGCCTGAATTTAAGCATCAGAAGTGCTTTTCACACATTATGGTGATGGGCACAGAGCCTGTCAGGGACATGTGACACGATCTCCACATAGCACATTTTGATCTGGCAAAAATTTTCATGGTTTTGTCATTTTCTTCAGTGGTGCTCAGGTGTCTGAGTAGGTTGGTATAGAAAACAGCTTTTGCACTGAACCAGTTTTTTTTTGTTTTTTTTTTTTTGTTTTTTTTTTTACCAGAAAGGTACAGCAGAAGGAAGACAGGGTGAGAAAGTTGAGGGTATTGATAGAAGATGAGGCTGAAGGGATGAATCATGAAGTTTGAGTTGAAGAGAAAATTAAACAAAGCCAGGAAGTTAAGAAATTAGAACAAATTAAAGCAAGGCTTAGAAGATACAATAAATGTAAATATTACAGGAAATGAGAGAATGAGTGAACTGGATGAATAGAGAATTTATAGGGGAATGATAACCTACCAAAAATATAAGGCTGAGGAGGAAATGAGTTAATGTTAACCAACATTTATCGAGCATGTACTGTGTGCAATCTGGGCCCACTGCTGGATATGTAATGACATCTCTTCTATGAAAGAGGACTAAAACAGGCAGGTAAAATTGATGGTAAATAGAAGCACAAACATTACTGAACAGCACAAAGGGAAGAGTAAGGTTGTTTAATTTTATTCAGAGAAGATCAGGGAAAGAGTTACAAGATTTGGCAATTTTCAGGAAAGCAGATTTGGACTAGTCCCCGCAACACACACACACATACAAAAAATCCCAGAAGACTTCGAGAAGACGAGAACATTTGCAAGGTTCAGGGTTAGGGTGCAGGCCATAGAGGAGTAACATAAGCCATATGCTGAGGTCATCAACAAGGTAGGAGATGGAAGCTGGCACTGACAGCACAGGGGGAGCATTCCCAGAAAGGAAGGAGGACAGAAGGAGAGGTGCTCAGGGTGTCTGGCGCACAGTGAAAATTATTCAAGCTCAGGTGGGCAGTCCAGAACTCGGTGATGCCAAGGGATAGTTAGAGGGTGCCAGGCCTGGCAGGGCTGGGGACACGAGGAAGCATGTCCATCTGTGGGAACTCTTGGGAGATGATCAGAAACAGAGATTCAATGCTGAGAGAAACACAAGGAAATAATTTTCCTTTTCTAGAAGTTTGCCTAGCAGCAGCCAGGCTACCAATAAGAAGAGTTAATTTTCAGGCAGCACCATAAGGTGTCATGATTTTGATTGATTACTAGTTCACGTAATCCAAGTGGATACTTCAGTTGTATGTAAAAATCCAAAGAGCAATGATAATTTTCTGAAGAATTATACATACTCAGCACATAGTTCTGACAACTTTAAAATATATATTAGCTAATTTAATCCTTTCAACAATACTATAAAGTAGGCACCATATTTATTTCTGTCATTGAGATGAAGAAACTGATACAATTTGTTCAGTATGAAATATCTAATATGCCTCAGAACAGCAACATCCAGCTGTAGAGGTCAGCCATCTAATACCAGTTCTACACTGCCTCTCCCAAGTAGATAATAGCTTTCTGAAACTTAAGAATAATGATTACATGCTAAATATGTTTGTTGAATTTATGTATTCACTGAGTCTGAGCATGAGTCAGATGGTGACTCAGCACCTAGGGGCTGAGGTGCTATATTTAAGACAAAGAACTGGAACATTCCAAAAGTAAGTTTACATCAGAGAATACTTTTAAATTGGAAGAAAATCCAACTAAGATGAAAATCTTATTCTAGTTAACATACTTGAGACTATCATTCTTATAGGAAAGATCATGGTTGGGCAAGGTAGTCTAGCTACAACCTTGGCTGTAAGAGTGACATAGTAGACAGTGAAATTCTAGAAGAAATTAGTAAGTACAGATCTGTGCTATTCTACTTTAACCTTTTAAGTATTTCATATGTATATTGGCTGAAATTTCCATTGCTCTCTGACTAGTGTTATGAGTTTCAAAAGTGATTACCAATAATCAAATTATGAATTTTTGAAAATATCCTAAAATACAATTAGTTTTTTTTTGGTTTTTTTTTTTGTTTTTATTTTTAGTTCAGGGGGAAAAAAGTCCCCAAAATTGTGACACTGAATTGCTCTCTTTTCAGTATTCCCATAATGTAACATAAAACTCTTCATTGTAACTGTATAATATGCAGCAAATGCTACCAACAGAACTCTTCTTATTAAAATCATAATGAAGCAATTGTATCTTCCTTTCGGGATGCCATAAGATGCTCAAACTAATAAGTTTATTTCCAAATGAGCCACCAAAATGAGTAAAGTTATGCAATTCTACCTTTTCACTGTGATACTTATGAATCTTTCTCATTATGAAGACAGTCCCCTCCCACTCAACATGGACATACAGACTAAATCGAAAAATTCTGAGCTTACAGAGCAAGTGAAAATTTCCCCACAAGAAACATAAGACCATAAATCAGGGCAGCAACGGGAGCTCCTGCTATTTTAATGCATTTATAGTAATAACATCTTCCAAATGTAATTTTAAAATGCAATTTTCAGCTCCTTAAATTAGTTAGTGTACAGCATTGTTTCTGACAGTACCTATGGATTATTCTCAAATGATCATAACAGTGACAGCTCTTTCCACAAATGAGATCATCTTTAAAAAAAAACTCACAACTGACTCATACCCTTGAAATTTCCACTGACCACTACCACCAAATTAAAGGAAAAGAAGACAGATGACACACCTAGAAATTGAAAGTGAAACTGCAGGTGAGGCTCAGTACCATGATGCTAGAAATCAGAGACAATGGATTGGCAAAATACGGTTCTTGTTCTCCAGATGAAAATCAGCTTTAAGTTTCAAATGACCTGGGGCGCCTGGGTAGCTCAGTGAGTTAAGCCTCTGCTTAGGCAAAGGTCATGATCCCAGGGTTCCGGGATCGAGCCCCACATCAGGCTCTCTACTCTGCTGGGAGCCTGCTTCCTCCTCTCTCTCTGCCTGCCTCTCTGCTTACTTGTTATCTCTGTCTGTCAAATAAATAAATAAAATCCTTAAAAATAAATAAATAAAAATTAAAAAAAAATTTTCAAATGACCCTGTACAACTAGTTCCTTTGTTATGCGAACTGTGAGCACTTTGGTCCTTGAAAGAGTTGAAAGAGTTAATTCACTACATGGGTGAGCAATTCTGCCTCACTTAAAGAGCTCTGGATTATCTATGCTAAGGCAAATGAAGTCAGAGTGTGGGTAATAATTCAAAATGGTAAACAGCAACATGCATTTCTTCAAGCTTTGAGGAGCTTTGCATGATTTATGATGCTTGCTGAACTTACCTTCCTAATGACGTTATGCTAAGATGGATGTTAAAAAGAATGAAGGAATATCTGAGTACACTGGAACAGGGACAGAGTGGTAGAAAGCCATACTTGTAACAATTCGGAGTGTTACAGAAAGGCTGTCCCAGGATCCAAAATTTTTCTGGTAAGTAGTCCCATAACATAGATAATTAGTAAATAACTAGAGTTCACAGATAGAGGATATTTGACCTATTTCTAATAATTCATAGTTAGAAGATAGACCCTGATTATATTTCTTAAAAAATGTATTATTCACTTTATAAAATGCTACCAGATGGTAAAATAATACATTAACCATTAATTGCTATCATAAGAAGTTTTTATAATGATGAGAAGGATCAATTTGTTATATAGAAAAAGCACAGGGGTACCTGGGTGGCTCACCCGGTGAAGCGGCTGTTCTGCTCAGGTCTTGATCCCAGGATTCTGGGATCGAGCCCCACATTGGGCTCCCTGTAGAGCAGGGAGCCTGCTTCTCCCTCTGTCTCTGCCTCCATGAATAAATAAGTAAAATTTTAAAGGAAAAAAAAAAGCACATAACCATTTAAAGAGAGGTTCTTGTATTGCAATAAGTGGATTTACTACTAATGATCACGTAGCCACTTACATTCTCACAAAGCACCTAATTTCAACCAAAAATCAGTAAGAATTTTGATATACAAATGTTGAATCAATAAGCTGTAAACCTGAAACTAATATAATGTTATATCCTGATTATACATTAATAAAATTTTTCTTTCAATTTAAAAAAAAAAAGGAATTTTGAATCTGTTTTAATGATCTGCTTGAAGTATCGTATCGATACTGCTTGATCTAGTTAAATGTTTCTCCGGAACAACTGGCTGCTTTTCCGCAGGAGTTGAAAGAGAAGATGGATGACCTCCTGCCCTTGATCCCGGTGCTGGAACAATACAAAACAGACGCCAAGTTAATCACCCAGTTCAAAGAGGAGATCCGGAATCTGTCTGCCGTCCTCACTGGGATTCAGGAGGAAATCGGTGCCTATGACTATGAGGAACTGCATCAAAGGGTTCTCAGCCTGGAGACCAGGCTTCGTGACTGCATGAAAAAGCTGAGTACGTAGAACAGTTTCATTTATTTAAGTTGTGTTTCTATCGGTTTCAGTGAAAACTGCATTCTTACATTTTACAGACAGTCATGAATATCTAATTATAGAGAAACCAATGTCTGCTTTCTAGTGTAAGTATTCCTAATGCCTTAAGCATGCCTGGGTAATCAGTGCTATTTGATTAACGATGGCCTAATTTTCACAGCACCCTGTTACCATTTGGTGGCTTGAAATAATACGGACAATTCTATTGGCTACAATAATGGCAATACGTTACTACAGACAGAAAATATGTGATGGTCAATCATTACTTGGCTAAAAGGGAGACGAGGCATTTTTATTAGTGGAGAAAGTTAGAGGCTGGGGAAAATGTAGTTACCTTGGGACCAAATATGAAATAGCAGTAATTAAATCGGACAAAAACAATTCCTCTACTATAGAGAATTACCATCAGCTAGCACTTCTGATCCACACAAGAAATTAAAAGGAGGCACCTATTCAAATATAGATTCGCTACTCTTCAAGGGGTCAAGCATATGATATGGGATATGGACTCCAGTTCCTGAGTCCCAAAATGTGTGGTTCAACCTGGTCTAAGTTTTCAAACTCCTTCACTTCATCCATGAGTTAATTACTCAACTGAAATCATCATGGCACTAGGCTATAATTTAATACAAAGTAAATACATGGTCACAGATTGAATGAGGAGGCATTGTTAGATCATTTAGGAACAGTATTTTAGTTGTTGACATGAAGGGACAAGTCAGGGAGGTCAGGGAAATACTATAGAAAAGTGTTCCCTCAGTGGAAAGAAACAATTATCTGGAATAGAAAATAAACTAAAAAGAGAGATAAAGAAGTTGGAAAAGATAATTTCTGGTGAAGACAACTTCAGGGAATAGATATAAACACTTGAAATTTAGATGGCTGATGCATACTTTAAGGATTATTCTACAAATGCAATCCAAATGGAAAAAAGAGAGTGAATATACAAAACATTATATTTAGTACCATTCAAAATAATTTGGGGAATCACCAGATCAGAGGCTCCACTGAGGTCAATCCAGGATTTCCTAGAGATTCTGACATAATTACTCAGAAGGCAATTAACATAAACCCTAAAGCCAAATGCTTATACAGGCATCCCCAGTTCCTTTTTCCTCATCAGTCAAGGCCTAGAGTTTTTCACCTATAACTCTTCTTCTAACAATCATGACACCAGTAGTTTCCACGACTCCTATTCTTGCACTTTTCACCCATTGCACACATTATGGCCAAAGGCATTTATCTGAAGCATAAATCTGAAGTTAATCTGCGCTGCTGAAAATCCTAGCATATAGCCCACAACTTACGAGGCTCTCCATATGCGGCCCTACTTCTCCCCTCAGGTCCTGCCACTGTTCCCCTCACATGCTACACCCCAGTCATGTGTGTTCTAGACTTTCTCATCACAGGGCAGTGTTGAGATGCTTGTCCCTTCTCCTGAAATGCTCTTTCCCGTCTATCCTTTCTGTGTCAACACATGTTCACTGGTCTCATGAGACAAATTCCCATTTATCCTTCAGTTCTGTTTAAATATCATGTCTTGGCCAGAATCCTTCATTAAGCTCCCTATGTATACTATGTATCCCAGCTGGCTGCTCCCGAACCCTGATATTTCACCAATGACTGGACTTTTCTTTTTTTCCTTTTTTTTTTTTTTAAAGATTTTATTTATTTATTTGACAGAGAGAGATCACAAGAAGTAGGCAGAGAGGCAGGCAGAGAGAGAGGAGGAAGCAGGCTCCCTGCTGAGCAGAGAGCCCAATGCAGGACTTGATCCCAGGACCCTGAGATCATGACCTGAGCCCGAAGGCAGAGACTTAACCCACTGGACAAAAGTCCAGTCCTATGACTGGACTTTTCATGCTTCATTACCACTACATGTGTAACTGGATAGCTGCCTTCTAGATTTTTTTCCATCAGAACAAGAACAATATCTGTGACACTCCCTTTAAACCTTGTATTCCCTCAATGCCTGGAAAACTGCCTGACAAAGAAAAGTTAATAAATATTTGCCAAATAAATTAATTCTATAAGGAGCCATATGGTAACAACTTCTAACTTTCAACAAAGTAAACAATAGCTATTTCAAGTCTTATTTGGAAAAAAACAAAAAAAGCTCTCTTAGCCACATATTTGAGTCAGATGGTACGGGATTGACTAAGCAAAGGAGGAATTATTTATCTGATATAACACTTAAATACCTCCTTATATGCTATTCTTTTATAATTAATGTTATGAAGTTTATTGCTAATATCCAATAGGTAAAATATTACTGACATAAGTGAATTCTGTTATATTTTATTTTTAAATCAAAAAATGATTTAGTGTAATGCACATACTAATTACATAGCTTGCCAGATTATGTCTCCACCAAACCAGATAAGAAAATCTAAGTCCAAGAATTGAGTCCCTCACTATCTAAATTATTTTGGGGGTCACAAAAAAAAATCCAGATGCATTTTTAGTAGCTCATAAAATATTTGATTACAGATTTTCTGTAAATGACCGTGCATAGGATTGGTCTGTGTAGGACTCTGACTTACTTTAGAAGAGGTCTGTTTGTTACAGATGTATCACTCCAGATTCTGAGAATCAATATATTCAGTCATTCCTGGCAATTCACAATAAACCCAAGCCTAAACTTTGTACACTGAGACCAGATAAATTTGCTAAGTACACCTACACTCTACAAAAGGATGGACAGGCAAAAGAGTAGTTCCAGCTAGTAAATATCTCGAAACTTAAAAGTGTGCCAGTCAGGTTTTTGAGGGACTAGCATGGAAAATTCTTGGAATTTGCTTAACTTTAGAAATGAATTTCACTTCTAACACATATTATCTCTGAGTTGACTCAGCTAGAAACAATGTCGCAGTTTGGAAATGAAATCTACACTCCTTTCAGCTCTTTCACAATCCCTTTTGGTTTTTTGTTCAGTCCGCATATAACTCTCCCCCACACAGCTTCCTTCAGTATTGAAATGATATCTAGGACAAAGGGGATTAATTTAAGTGATCACAAATTCATCCTATTTTTTCTTACTGAACCATGGATAATGTTTCCATGATGCCCTGAGGCCTTGGGACAGTGATCCACATTATATATATTTTTCAACATCAAAGGTTCTTTTTACTAATTTGCCCTCAGGAACATCAAAGTTTGAAAGAATATAATTTTCAAATTAACTACATTAACTAATATTTAATTTTATCTTAACTAATCAAAAACAAAACCTTGCCACTAATGCAAAAATCTAACAGCAATAAAATACTATTCAACTCTCTTATTTAATGAGATGGTTGCTATTTGAGTTAATTGATATGACCTTACAAGAGATTAGAAATAACTCAGACATGTTCTAAACTCTTTCCTAGATTATTAGTAGCTCTGAGGTCTGTACTTACGTAGTAGAGAGGCTAGTGCCACAATGACTATAACTCATTTATGCTGTTTGTCCCAAGAACCGGGTACTTTTCTCTATCACAACAGATCTACAGAACAGTCAGAGCAACTTACTGAGAAAGCAGAGAAAGTATTCATCAGCAGGATCACAACCATTAATTACAATGTAAAGCACATGTCCAGGTAGAGACAGACAGCCCTAATACCATGAAGTATGAAGTTCCATGGTCCCTGGAAAAAAATAAATAAAGGAATCTTCATATCGTCCTTTTTAAAAAATTACTCCAGCTTGAAAGGAAGTATCTGAAACATGTATTTGCAGAAGAAAACACAAACACATGATTGGGAGCTGTGCCTTAAGTTAATAGTCTAATATTACTTTGTACTTATATTTCCTGGGACTTTAAATAAAGATTGGATGACATTATTTCTGAGAACCTTTAAACTCCATGCTTCCTATTAATTGCCCAGTTATCAAAATATCAGAACACATGGACTCAGAAAACATGTTAATAAACATCAGGTCCATTAATAGGAGATAGATAGAAAAAATAAAACATGAGGGGCTCAATGTTCCAAAGCATCTAAAATCCAGCTGTTCTGCTCTTTGGATCTATACTGGGACATTGGATAATCATGGTATCCTCAATGTAGTAACAGGAGCAGGAAGGCTCATCCATCAGTGGCATCTTCAATCTTCACAAAAGCCTCTCAACACACACAACCAATTAGCAGAGGACAGAAATGGATTGAGGCAAGAGAATCAAATTGCAACAATGATGAATACATTTCCGCTCACCTTTTCAATGAATTTGCTTTTAGGGAAAATGCATATCACATAAATTTTAAGAGACTAAAAAACAAGCCTCATTGCCTGTAAGGTCTAAGTTACTCCCAAAAAGTAAGTAAGGCGCTAAAGAAATCACAAGTCACTGAGAGCACTAGGGCACCATTCAGTGTATTTCTACCAGAGAATTATGGTTTTGGAGAAAACAGAAATTAGGGAAAGAAAAAAAAGGTTTTAACAAGGATGCACCCTAGTGGGCCTGAATGAGGTACAGTAATGCTCTTTCCTAACCGCTTAATTTTCTCCTGTGAGAGACAGGATAAAGTCCCATGTTTCATTAAATATCCCATTCCTAGACATGCGAAGTATAACTAAATGCATGTGAGAATTTGCTGAAAGAAGCACAGTTAAAGCTCTCACGCACACCCTGAGAGCATCAACAGATGTTTAATGTAGATTATAATCAGACTTTCCAGTCGCCTTCCCTCCACTCCCTCAAGTTAGTTCTATTTTAGGGCAATTGTGTGGTGCCATCTAGTGAAGCTCAAGATCTGTCTTTCTATTAACAGTTTTGAGGCTTCATGTTCAACAGAATGGACGTAGCACTTGTAGCACTCAAATCTCAAATCTAAAATCTGCATGATTTTAAAATCTAAAATCTAAATCTTAAATTTAGATTTTAAAATCTAAAATCTAAATCTGCGCCTGAATGGCTCAGTCAGTTAAGCGTCTGCCTTTGACTCAAGTGGTAATCCCGGGGTCCCGGGGTGGAATGA